TGCACACGTCACCAGGAGGTACCAACCCTTGGAGAAAGACATCATGCTTGCTACATTGTTGTTGTTATATCCTGGCAAGTCAAATACAACTCACAGCTACCCTATGAGTAGCAGATCTGAGCCTCCTGGTTAAGGGGATGTTGTTGTGTTTGATTACCGTCTAGTCGAGCACAACTCACAGCGACGCTATGAACAAAAGGCCTGAAGCCTTTCCATAACTATTGCCATTTATCAAGGTTCAGAGAGTTTCCAGAGGCATGTTTTTAGGAAGTGGATGCCACTCCTGCATCCAAAGGTTAAGGGGGAAAAAATCATTGCCACCAAGTTGGAATCAACTCACTGGCCCTCTAGCTGGTGTCCAAGTCAGTACATCACGGGAGAAGCTCATTCATCTTTCTCTTGAGGGGTTCCTGGCAGATTTGAACCACCAGTTTGAATCTGCAGTTTGGGGCTTAGCAGTGCAACTCCCTGTGGTCCACTAGAGTGCATCTGCTAGCGTCTCACTGAAGAAAAGATCCCCCCAGTGAGACCAGCTGACACAGTGGCTGCAACAATGGGCTGAAACTTAACAGTGGTCAAGATGACGCAGGACTGAACAGTGCCTTGTCCTGTGACAGGATCATGTAAGTCTGAGCTGATTTGTTGGCATCTAACAACAACATATACCGAGTCACCCTGCACTTTCCTGAGTCAAACTTATCGTCTCTGATACATCTCTCCCCCTATTGCCATATATATGTACATATGTATGTGTATAGCCTTGCTTGCTCCAAGTGAGGAGGACTTGAAGTGTTTGCTGCATAAATTCAAACGCTACAGCTTTCAATATGAATGACATCTCAACATCAAGAAAACAAAGATTCTCATCACTGTACCAGCTGGCAACATCATGACAGATGGAGAAAAGACTGAAACGGTCCATGACTTCATCTTATCTGGATCTACATCAACACCCTTGGTACCAGCAGTCAGTATACATACTGCATTGGGGAAGTCTGCTGTCAGGGACCTCTCCAAATTACTGAGGTACAATGGTGCCAGTTTGAAGACTAAGGTATGCCTGATTCAAGCCATGGGTTTTTGGCAATAATTTGCTATGGATATGAAAGCTGGACAGTGAATGAGGATGGCAGGAGGAGAATTGATGCCTTTGAGCTGTGGTGTTGGGGAAGAGTACTGAATAGCTCGTGGACAGCCAAAAAAAACAGATACGTGTTGGAGAAAGTACAGCCAGGATGCTCCTTGGAGGCAAAGATGACAAAGATCCATCTCACATACTTTGGGAATACCGTCAGGAAAGGCTATTCTTTGGAACTAGACATCATGCTTGGAAAGGCGGAGGGCTGCCGAATGAGGGGAAAACTCTCAACCAGATGGCTTAACACAGCGACTGCAGCAACGGGGTCAGGTGTGTTGGAGATGATGAGGATGGCGCAGGATAGGACAGGGTGCCAGTCTGTTGTTCATAGGGACACTGTGAATTGCACTCAGTCAGTGGCACCCAACAACAACAAGTTGTGTGTGAATGATATATGTACATAGGGTAGTCCCTTGGTGTCTGCAGAAGGTTAGTTCCAGGATCCCTGTGGATACCAAAACTTGTGGACGCTCAAGTCCCCCCCTTTTTTAAATTTAAGTTAATTTTATTATTTTTTGTGCATGTACTGTCATGTACTGCATGTGCATCTGATACAGGCCATGGTCTTCGCAATCACTTGTTATGCATCAGAGAGTTGGACAATGACCAAGGAGGATAGAAGGAGAATTAATGCCTTTGAGCTGTGGTGCTGGAGAAGAGTATTGAGAATACCATGGACTGCTAGGAAAACAAACAGATTCGTCCTGGAAAGGGTTAAACTGGGTGGCTCCTTGGAGGCAAGGATTCTGAGGCTCTGTCTAACATACTTTGGACATGTTGTGAGGAGAGACTGGTCCTTGGAGAAGGACATCATGCTTGGGAGGGTGGAGGGACAGCTCAGGAGGGGAAGGCCCTCTATGAGGTGGATTGATTCAGTGACTGGGATAATCAGGATGGGAGTGTCAGAGGCAGTGCAATTGGCACAGGACAGAGCAGAGTTTAGGGCTGTTGTACATAGGGTCGCTATGAGTCGCAAGCGACTCGATGGCACATAACAACAACAACTGTCAAATCAGATCTGACAGGTATAGGAGATTGTCCCTCCTTCTCCAGCAGAGCATCTGGTGGATTTGAACCACTCAAGTCTCTTTTATAAACCCACCGCTATGGAGTCAGCTCCAGGTCACAGCCACCTGCAGGACAAAAAACTGGCCTTGTACATTTTCTAAGGCATAAATCTATACAGATTTATCTGTACAGAAGCTAAATGTCAAATGTTTCTCCCTCAGAGAAGTGAGTGGGTTTGAACTATTGACCTGAGGATTGTAATCCTCCCTTACATGAAATGGCACTGTATTTGCATATAACATATGCATCTCTCATGTAAGACCCACTGTCATGAAGTCCCTAGTCACCTAGGTCCCCAACAGCCAGATGGAAAGACACATGTAAGAGTAAGGATAGACCCCAGGGTCGTTAAACTCCAACAGTCACCCTCACGGCTCTTGTGACGGCCCACTCTGGCCCACACACTATCTTCCTACTGCTATTTTGAGAGGACAGGGTCTTGTTCACCATTACGGCCCCAGCACAGACCGGGCACACAGTTCGTGCTTAGTGAACCACCAAACAGGGTGACTCTGTCGTTACTGGGTGAAAGGGCACATGCCACAGAACAATTTTTAGGGTGAAATCCAAAGCTAGCTCCTGGCCCCAGGACGAATTCTTTTGTGACTCACTCACAGTTGGATGGGTGCCCCCAAGGGCCCTGGGCGATTCTCTGAAACAGCACAAAGAACTCGCTGCAAGCTGGTTGTGAAAAGACCATCATGTCAGGAAACACGGGTTAGTTTCTCTCAAGTAGCCTCTGACTCACTCCAAGTGCACCCACAAGGTAACAAAACATTGCTTGGCCCTCCAGGGTCCCCATCATCGGTTTTGAATCTGACCACCGTGAGCCATACAGTTTTCTTTAGTTAAATTTTTTTGCAAGTTCATTGCCACACCTTTCTTCCTACTCTATCTCAGCCTGGAAACTTCAATGAAATCTGTTCAGCACTCTGGCCTCCACTGATAGATGCATTCCCTGCCTGGGAACTGAATCAGAGTCTCTTGAGTGGAAGACAAGAAGTCCCCACACAGAACCACCTTGGGACAAGTACACCCAACAAAGTGGGCCCTTAAGCAACCATTTCTTTCATGCAAGAAGCAAAAGTTTGCAGCCAAAAGTGGAAAGAAAGTAGAGCTCATGGGAGCCTGAGATAACTATGTCCCTACTTGGAGTGAGGCCAGGGGCTGAGGGGTGAGTGGGTCAGCTGCCAGGACAGGTGGCTACCGTCTGGACCTTCTCTTCTTCATTGGGGTTTTCCTCTCTGCCTGTTCCCATCTGCCTGTCACTGCTGCCAGGATCAGCCACGCTGGCAGGCTGCCCGCGAGGTCCCTGTGTACAGTGCTCGCCTGCACGTCAGCCCCAGGCAGTGCACTTACGGATTCCAAGACTGAGCTGGCTCCCAGCCCTGCTGAGTCAACCTCATTCTGCTTGTCCCAACTCTGGGCCAGTCTACCCCTGGTCCTTCCTGGCAGGCAGAGTTTCTGTGCCAGTCTCCCCTCCCAGACTGGGTGTCAGGGTTGGAGGGTGGTGGTGAGGGTTCAGAGAAAGGGCAAGAGAGAGCCTGGCCCAGTGCAATGAATGCTGGCCAATCCCAGTCAGTTCTTCCTTTGCCCCCAACCCTACCCCTAACCCGGGTTCATCGTGTTGAAGAGGGTCTCACCACCAGGCTGAGACTCTGCAAGATCTCTGTTTGTTTGCATCCAGTAACCTAAAGGTTGGTGGTTCAAACTCACCCTACACCGCCTGGAAGAACAGCCTGTTTCCTGCAAAAATTACTGCTAAGGAAACACCATCCAGTACAGTTCTACTCTGTTACCAGTGGGGTCATCAGGAGGTGGGATAATTTGATAACAACAGGTTTGCGGTTGGAAATCCTGCACAGCCCCAGGTTGAGAGAGTAGCTGCTGTCCTGTTCGCTGAAGGAATGATTGAGTGAGTGACTTAATAAATGACCCAGGAGGCCTTTCTTCCCTGAATCTCCTCTTTCTGTTCCTGCCCCCAGTCAATGATGCAAACACTGGAGACCTGGAGGTGGGCTAGGGGTGGGCAGTGGGGGCGTGGTCCTGGCCGGGACACTCGCAGCTGGGGGCCAGGGAGCAGGAAATGAGCTAAGAATCTCACAAACATCTGAAATGAAGGAGCGTGGGAACCCTGAAATGTCTCTCTGGGGGTCCAGGCTGGCGGTTCCTGGAGGCCTCCCTCGAGGAAGGATGCAAGGCTCAGAGCTTCCCCTCCCAGCTGGGGTGTCCCCACTGGACTCAGCGCCCCAGCAATCCATCTGTTTCTCTTACCAGCCTCTACTCCAGTTTCTGTCTTGGCGAGGGGTCAGGTATGCTGCACCCGCCCCCTGCCCAAAAAAGGATTCGAATGCCCTTTCTCCCACTGCGCGCAAAAAGGGCGGGGTGGGGGCTCGGATTCCAGCGCTGGGAAAGGGGACGTGAGGGAGGGTCACGCCTCTCATGTCCACAGAGGGGCCCTGGTGGGGGGAGCCAAAGTTTTGCGCCCTCTCCCCTTACCACCCGCCACCAGAGGACAAGGACCCCCCCATTTTTGCCGCACGTCCCGCCCAGGCACTCCCAGCGCCCCGCCTCTGAGGCTCCCCGCCCTACTTCTGCACGGAGCTCATAAAAAGGGCCACAGAGCACTTCTGAGGAACTCCGATGTGAGCTGGCGAGGAAACAGCGCCTGAACTCTGTGGAGAGGCATCCGAGCGTGTCTCCACCGGGACCCTGTGTCTCCTGTCCTTTCCGAGCTCTGCTCCCAGCCCAGAGCCCCGCGTCCCCCGCGTTCTCGCGCCCCGAGTCCAGGCTACCTTAGAAGATGCGTTGCGCGCCTTCGGCTGGCGCAGCCCTGGTGCTGTGCGCGGCCACCGCCGGCCTCCTGAGCGCCCAGGGCAGCCCCGCGCAGCCCGAGCCTCCGCGCTTCGCTTCCTCGGACGAGGTGAACCTGTTGGCGCACGGGCTGCTGCAGCTCGGCCATGGGCTGCGCGAGCATGTGGAGCACACCCGCGGGCGGCTGGGCTCGCTCGAGCGGCGCCTGGACGCGTGCGGGGCCGCCTGCGCGCAGGCTTCGGGGACCGCGGCGCCACCGCCTGCCGCGAACCCCGTCGTCGGCGACGCGGCTGCGCCTGAGACCCTGCGCAACCTGCAGGTACGTGCGCCCTGACTGGCACGGCAGGGAGGTGTAACTGGGGCTCCCGCAGATCTCTCCCTTGTCCCCTGCTTCATAGGATGGAGAGGCGGGTCGGGTGGATCAGTGAGGAGGTAGAGGATGGAGATTCTCCATCAGCGTTTTTCTTGCTCTTTCCAGGTACAGCTCAAAGCTCAGGACACCAGGATCGAACAGCTGTTTGAAAAGGTGGCCCAGCAGCAGCGAAACCTGGAGAAGCAGCAGCTGAAGATCGAGAATCTGCAGAGCCAGGTGCCCAAGCTTGTCCCAGGTGGGGAGGGAAGTCCAGGTGCGGAGCTGGGCAGGCCTGGCAGCCTGAGCCAGCCGGACCTGACGCCTTCCAATCTGCCCTGCTCCAGGTCCGCCTCCTGGCCCCTTCACACGTAGAACATAAGGTGATCAAGCCTGCCAGGGGAAAGAGGCTCCCCAAGGTGGCACAGGATGGGGATACTGCTCACAATGCCAGCCGCCTGCACCGTGAGTACTCAGCCTGTCCCCACGTACCCTGCTAGTCCCTCTTCTTGTCAGGCACACTTCGAATGGCCTGGCCCCTGGATCCTTGTGGTCACCAGTTTCTAGGGAAGGACTAACAGGGAAGTCCTGCTAGGGCGAACAGACCTCCAGCAGGGCCACCACCTTTCAAGCCACAGCGTTCCCAAGTCTTCCTGTCAGGAGCAGGGCTTGGGAGAATTGAGCTGTAGGGATAGGTCAGGGGGTCAGCTCCAGGACACCTTCCTGGTGGGTAGACCTTTCTGGAAAGACTTATCTTGGTGGCTTGTCTTGTCTTGGAGGGGGCTTCTGAAGCTTAGACACCCTCCCCCAAGATTTCTGTGGAGTGTGGATGTAGCATGGCCAGGTCATGGAACCCACCTCCTGTGCCAGGCACACCTGTTCTTACAACCCAGGATCCCTGGCTCAAGCCCCTGGGCCCTCTCCCCTTTCCCAGCTGCAAGGACCCTCCTAGAATCCTACGTTTACAGAGTGCAGGGAGCCAGGTCCCAGGGAACACCTTTGTCTCCTTCCCAGAGCCCTGGGTCCTTAATTGGGTGAGGCCCACAACTCCAGTCGTCCACTCTTGTGTGTCTGGCTCAGACCCCCTAGTTCTACCCAATCCTGAGTTCAAAGCCCCAGACCCGTCTTCCCCGTGGCCCTCCGCCCACCTCATCTTGGCCACGGCGCCTCTCAGAGGCCAACTGGGTTAAAGTTCGGATCCCCGCTTCACACCCCGGAGCTGGAGCGCTGGCTTCCAGCCCTCTCACCCCGAGAGCGCCCCCGCCTCGGGCTGCCTGCCCTGCGCGTCCCCCATCACCGCCCAGCGTGGCCGAGGGTCAAGTGCGCCCTCCCCCACCCGCGCGGCTCGGGAGGTGGGGCTCCCTCTCCATCCCCGCCGGGCCTGTGCGGGCCGGGGGAGGGGAGTAGGGGGGACGCGTGGGTTTGGAACTCCCAGACTCCCCGCTGCTCCCTCCAAGTAGGGGAAAGTTGAGCGCAGCGGAGACCAACAGCTGGCGCTAATGAAAGCCACGTTGGAGGTCTGGCTGCGCGCCGCTCCTGATTGGAAGAGAGCGAAGTGGGGGAAAGGGGAACCGCCCGAGGGGTCGGGAAAGTGCGCGCGCGCGCGCGCGCGGGGCCCTGCCCCCACCTCGGCCTCCCGGACACCCGCGCGGGTGTCCGCGGCCCGCCCCTCCCCCAGCGACCTTTCCCCCACTTTCCCAGCTGGGCTGGGGGCGGGGACTTCCTGATGCTCCGGCGGTGCCGGGTCCTCCCGCCTCCTCTCGTTAGTCCTCGCCCCCTTCCTCGCCCAGCTGGGCCCTATAGCTGGGGCTTGTGTCCTCTGCCCGCCCCCCCTCCCCAGGACCCCTCTCCGTAACCCCCCACTCAGAGGAAACCAGACCTTCTCCTGCCGGCCGCGCTGCTCCCTCAACCACTCATTCATCCGTCCAGTCTTTGTGGAACCCCCCCCCACTGTAGGGCCTTGGGGAGCAGCACAAAGGCTCTGTTTAGGTTGGTAGTTTTGAGCTCTCTCCGAGGGAGAAAGAAAGGCCTGGCGAACCGCTGCCAACAGGTCCCCGGCTTGAAAGCACTACGCTGTGCAGTTCTGTGCAGACACACAGTGGGGTCCGCAGGAGTCGGGCTGGATTTGACTAGACCCGCAAGGCCAGGGAAAGTGAATTCCAAAGTCCCAGTGGAAGGAAGAAAGGGGAGGTGGAGGGAGGTCCCTGTGGCCCAAAGGGAGCGGAGGAAAGCCAGGGGGAACCCGCGGGTATAGTGGGATGAGAGTGCGTTCTGAATCGCTCCCTCCCTCCAACCTACACACAACCCCCACCACGCACATATACACACACATTCCAGCTATTACACACACACCCCGGGGCTCTACTCCTACTTCAGGGTCCCCCTGTCTGTCCGCAGGGCTGCCCCGACACTGCCAGGAGCTGTTTGAAGAGGGTGAGCGGCAGAGTGGACTGTTCCAGATCCAACCACAGGGGTCTCCGCCATTCCTGGTCAACTGTGAGATGGCCTCAGGTGAGAACTCTCCGGGCACAAGCCTGGCTTGTCAGCCTTGTCCTTTCTTGGGCATTTCCATTACGCGCTCAGAGGTGGGGTTCCCTGGCAAGCCTGTCTGAGACCCTCAGAAGGAGAGGGTGTCCGAGACCCTCAGAAGGAGAGGGAACAGCCTGGCTGGGTCTTCAGTGACTTGACTGCCCCTTCTCCGGCTAGATCCTGCCTCTCTGTTGGAGGCCCTGCAAGGGTTTTCTTAGACTAGCCTCCCCTTCCTCTAGTTCCCTGGGACATTCCGTGGCTTTGGGAGCCCGGTGGGTGGTGGGTGAGTCGGGGTTCCCATGAGGAACGTCCCTTTGATGACCTTGCTCCCTGCATTGGACAGATGGCGGCTGGACCGTGATTCAGAGGCGCCAGGATGGCTCCGTGGACTTTAATCAGCCCTGGGAAGCCTATAAGGCAGGCTTTGGGGACCCTCAAGGTGGGTATTGCCAGCAGAGGTGGGGGACAGGAAGGAGGCAGTGTAGTGTGGCTGGAAAGGTGGGCCCTCTGACCGGAGCTGCCTCTCCCGTTACAGGTGAGTTCTGGCTGGGCCTGGAGAAGGTGCACTCCATCACCGGCAATCACGGTGGGCGCCTGTCCGTCCAGCTGCAGGACTGGGAGGGCAACAACGAGTCTCTGCAGTTCCCCGTCCACCTGGGGGGTGAGGACACTGCCTACAGCCTGCAGCTCACTGCACCCGTGGCCAGCAAACTGGGCGCCACTGCCATCACGCCCAACGGCCTCTCCCTGCCCTTCTCCACTTGGGACCAAGACCACGACCTCCGAGGGGACAAAAACTGTGCCAAGACCCTCTCCGGTGAGCAAGCCCTGCCCAGCCTTGTCCACCCCACCCTGCTTCACACAGCCTGAGCCCCCTCCTTCCCTCTGTTTCCTGTTCCTGCCTTCACATCCAAATTCCATTTATACCCTGTCTCCCTTTTCTTATTTGGTGAGTGCTCTAAGGCAATTGTTTTCCTCACCCAGCCTCAGTTTCCTCATCTATAAAATGGGTATAAGCATAGCACTCACCACTTAGAATGACTCTTGAAAGTCAGTGAGGTCAGGGGTGTAGGGCGGGGTGGGAGCTGGCGTGTGGTGCAGCCATGGAAACCAACCCCCTTCTGTTCTGATGAAATTGGAGGCAAAGTCCTGGTTCTGTGAAGTGAAACATGAAATGGGCCCTTTGTGGTGTGTCCTCAAATGCTGGGATTCTTGGTAATTTTATGGTTTGGACAAATATAAATTGGTCGAGCCAATGACAATAATAAGTATTTAGTAAAAATTCACTTTGTGCCAGGTTCAGAGGAGTGACCTCTCAAGGTCACAGACATGAAAGCAGATTTATTTTGGTTAAGGAGAAGCCTTCTCTGTGGGTTTTTCAGAGCATACTTAGACAACCACACCAAAGGCCCACCTGTGTATGATGTGTGGAGTCGAGAGCCTGCCCACATACTGCATCCCAGCTCTCCAGCCCTAACTTCTTACTCCACCCCAGCCCCAACTCCATGCCAATCCCAACCCCAACCCCAACGGAAATGCCGACCTCGTCCCTATCCACAACCCCGTCTGCAACTTAAACACCAACCCTGTCCTCAACCCCAGATCCACTCCCAGTCTTAGCCCTGTCCCCAACCCCAACTATATTCCAGTCCTATTGCATCCTACCTGCAGCCCTGACCCCACACCCAGCTTCAGGCCAGCCCAAGCTGAGGCCCAAGACTTAACTGCTCTCTCCCACCCGCTCCCACAGGTGGCTGGTGGTTCGGCACCTGCAGCCACTCCAACCTCAACGGCCAGTACTTCCACTCCATCCCCCGGCAGAGGCAGCAGCGTAAGAAGGGCATCTTCTGGAAGACCTGGCGGGGCCGCTACTACCCGCTGCAGGCCACCACCATCCTGATCCGGCCCGCAGTGGACGCCTCAGCCTCTTAACCTCCCCTGTGGGGCCTGGACGCAGGCTCCTAGAGGGCAGTGACTCTGGCTCCAGCCCAGGACGTGGCTGTGTGGAGCCTGGTGGACAGAAGAGAAGCCCCCTTCCTGAGTGGGGTCTGCACGTGTCGCCCGCCTTTGAGACCAGCACAACTGTAGGGTGGATGCAGACCCTGGCCATGTGAGGCCAAGGGGCATTGGATCCTGCTCCTCGTCCGCCCGAGGAGTGGGGGATGCACAGGGACCAGTCGAGGGCCAGGCAAGGCCCTCGATGGCGGACTCAGTCACATTGACTGTTCAGGGCCCCGGCCCCGGTGGGACGGGTGCCCTCGCGGTGCTGTGTGGGTGCCGTGGGACCAGCTGGCGCCAGTGGCGTCTGGACGCAGCTTGCAGAATTCTTGGAATAAAAGCAACCTCAGAACATTTTGTTTTTCTCTGTCCTTTGGTTTGTTTGAAAGAGTGAACGGTTTCAAAGTCCTCAGGCTCCTAGGGCGGAGTGTGGACACTCCCAGGTCCTTTCGGGTTAAGGCGGGCGAGTCTTCTGCTGCCAACAGCCCGTTGCGATTGCCTTCATTTATTAGTTCATGATGTGTGGTTCTCCTGCTGTGGTGTGATTTCCAAAATTAATGAGAAGGAAAAATAAAAACAAACCTCAAATAGTTTAGTTGTGACAGAAGCAGGTACTAGAGAATATGAGAATTTTCTCTGTAGTTAATTATATTTTCATATATAGAGGTTCTGATGGCCTATTAGTGAGAAGATCCACCAGCTGCTCTGCAGGAGAGAGGGGTGGGCAGTCTCCTCCTGTACGATTTAACTTTCTCTGAAAACCCACCGGAGAGTCAGCTATGAGTTGATTCCAATGCGACAGCACAGAGCAGTAACAATATATGAAGGCTAGTTAACAGTTGCTTTGAGTGAACGTTTAAAAAGCATTGGCTATTCATTCATTGACTCATAAGCTACATATATATGTATATGTATATATATATGTATGTGTGTGTGTGTATATATATATATATACTATATGTGGGAAAGTCTGCTGTTAGGGACCTCCCCAGGGTACTGAAGAGCAATGATGTCTCTCTGGAGACTAAGGTGCGTCTGATACAGGCTATGGTCTTTGCAATCACTTCTTATGCATCAGAGAGTTGGACAATGACTAGGGAGAATAGAAGGAGAATTGATGCCTTTGAGCTGTGGTGCTGGAGAAGAGTATTGAATGTACCCTGGACTGCCAAGAAAACAAACAGATCCATCCTGTAAAGTGTTAAACCAGGCTGCACCTGGAGGCAAGGATTCTGGGGCTTCGTCTGACATACTTTGGACATGTTGTAAGGAGGGACAGGTCCTTGGAGAGGGACATCATGCTTGGGAGGGTGGAGGGATGGCGTAAGAGGGAAGACCCTCTATGAGGTGGATTCATTCAGTGACTGGGGTAATCAGGATGGGTGTGTCAGAGGCAGTGCGATTGGCACAGGATACAGCAGAGTTTAGGGCTGTTGTACATAGGGTCGCTATGAGTCTCAAGTGACTCGACGGCACGTAACAACAACCTATATAAACGATATATAAAAACTATATATAAATTAGAGGGAGTTCTGGTGGCCTAGTGGCAAGAAGCTGCACTGCAATCCCAGAGGCTCATGGTTCGAATCCACCAGATGCTCTGCTGAGAAAGGAGAGACAATCTCCTCCTGTACCAGTCAGATCTGATTTGACGGTACACAGACACACAAAATAATAAAATTTAAAAAAATTATATCTGTATAAACTATATATAAACATATATGTGTGTGTGTATATATGTATATACATGTGTGTATATATATGTGTGTATATATGTATATATATGTGTGTATATATATATATACATATACATATACATATATATACACACACACACTATATGTATAGAGAGAGAATCAATGCCTTTGAACTATGGTGCTGGAGAATAGTATTGAATATACCATGGACTGCTAAGAGAATGAACAGGTTTGTCCTGGAGAGGGTGAAGCCAGGCTGCTCCTTGGAGGCAAGGATTCTGAAGCTTCGTCTGACATACTTTGGACATGTTGCAAGGAGGGACCAGCCCTTGGAGAGGAACGTCATGCTTGGGAGGGTGGAGGGACAAGGCAGGAGAGGAAGACCCTTGATTAGATGGATTGATTCAGTAACTAGGGTTATGGGAGTAGGTGTGTCAGAGACAGTGAGATTGGCAGAGGACATGGCATGGTTTAAGGTGGTTGTACTTAGTGTCTCAGGTGACTCAATGACACATAACAACAGCAATATTAAATACTTTGGGCATGCTGTTAGGAGGCGCCAGTCCTTGGAAGAAGACATCATGCTTAGAAAGGTGGAACAAGAGTGGAAGACCCCTAACAAGTTAGACTGACATGAGGACTTCAGTAACGGGCTTGAGTATGTCAGAGATGATGAGAACGCCACAGGATGGGGCATGGTTCCATTTCATTGTTCAGAAGGTCACTATGTTACTAGGCTGGACAGCACATAACAATCACAGTTGGTTAACATAACTGATGTAGTATCATGTCTCATGGAGAGCTCCAGTGGCCCAGTGGTTAAGGAGCTGCTCTGCCAGCTCAAAGGCACACAGTTTGGATCCACTAGTTGCTTCACAGGAGAAAGAAGAGCATTCTCCTGGGAGATGTACCACCTCTGAAAACCCACTGGAGGGTCAGCGATGGACAGTTGTGACTCAGTAACATTTATAACCTGTCGAACAAACCTTTATTGAATATTGCTTTTTCCTTCACCCAACTTACCTTGGTTAACTTTTTAATTGTGATCTGAATCTTTCATTCAACCAGTCATAGACATTCGGTTCACTAACATTCATTTCAATACTTACGTTGATACATAGAGAAAAGATTGAAACTCACTGGTTTAATCTTACTTGGATCCACGATCAACACCCTTGGTACCAGCAGTCAGGAGATATATGGCTTTGGGCAAGTCTGCTGTCAGGGAATTCTCCAAAATACTGAAGAGCAATGATGTCAGTTTGAAGACTAAGGTGCGCCTGATCCAAGGACATGGACTTTTCAATGATTTGCTAATGCTTCTGAGAGCTAGACATCGAATAAGGATGACAGAAGAAGATGCCTTTGAGTTGTGATGTGGGAGAAAAGTACTGAATATCCCACGGACTGCTAAAAAAACCAAACAGGTAAGTTTTGGAAAGGGTGCAACTAGAGTGGTCCTTGGAAACAAGGAGGCGAAGCTTCATCTCTCACACTTTGGGCATGTTGCTAGGAGAGGCTATTCCTTAGAGAGGGACATCATGCTTGGAAAGGTGGAGGGCTAGTGAAAGGTTCATTGACATAGTGACTGCAGCAGTGGGTTTATGTATATCGGAGATGGTGAGGATGGCCCAGGACAGGACAGGGATCAGATCTGTTGTTCAGAATGAGCTGTAAGGAGTTCTTTTTGACTCAGCCCCTAACAACAACAACAACAACAATCCCTAAGGCTCATGGTCTCAGGGATCCCACCAATCTCTGTATATCAACAAGCCTGGTCATTTTGCAGTTTTGAGTTTCGTTGCACCTCTTCCATCTGCTCTGACTAACACCCTCTGCTGTGATTCCTTTTTAGAGCCGAGACTCACATCAGTGAAGTCCAGTCACTAGCAAGGGTGTCCTGCGGGTGAGGCTGGAGGGTCAGTGAATACAGAAGCCCAGCATGAGGTGGACTGACACGGCAACCATGACAATGGCTTACGCATCCCAACAGCCACCAGGATGGGACTGGACCAGGCAGAGTTTCACCCTGTCACATACAAGGCTGATGTATACGTCTTGACTTGATGGTAACCAACAACAACAAAATAGCTACACTGAGAAAAAAAAAACAACAAACCCAAGTGAAAGGAATGTTAGAAATATATCTTAACTAACACTTCATGGTTCAAAACTGGGAAGGGCGTATGCCAGGGGTGTGTCCTGTCTCCATACCTTTTCAACCTCTATGCAGAACAGATTATCTGGGAGGCTGGGCTCTATGAGGAGAAATGTGGGGTCAGGATTGGTTGAAGATCTATCAACAATCTGCGTTACACAGATGACACAACCCTGCTTGCTGAAACTGAGGAGGACCAGAAGCCCTTGCTGCAGAAGGTCAAGGACTGCAGCCTTCAGTATGGATTGAAGCTCAATGTTAAGAATACAAAGATTCTCACCACTGGACCAATTGGCAGCATCAAGATGGACGATGAAGAGATTGAGATTGTTCACAGCTTTAGTTTCCTTGGCTCCACAATCAACACTCTTGGTACCAACAGCCAGGAAATTAATAGACATATTGCCATGGGAAAGTCTGCTGTTAGGGACCTCTCTAAAGTACTGAAGAGCAATGGTGTCTCTCTGGAGACTAAGGTGCATCAGATACAGGCCAGGGTCTTTGCAATCACTTGTTATGCATCAGAGAGTTGGACAATGACTCGGGAGGATAGAAGGAGAATTGATGTCTTTGAGCTTTGGTGTTGGAGAAGAGTATTGAGGGTACCATGGGCTGCTATGAAAAACAAACTGATTCATCCTGGAGAGGGTTAAACCAGGCTGCTCCTTGGAGGCAAGGATTCTGAGGCTTCATCTAACATACTTTAGACATGTTGTGAGAAGGGACCGGTCCTTGGAGAAGGACATCATGCTTGGGAGGGTGGAGGGCAGGCGCAGGAGGGGAAGGCCCTCTGGGAGGTGGACTGATTCGGTGACTGGGGTAATCGGGATGGGTGTATCAGAGACAGTGCCATTGGCATAGGACAGAGCTGAGTTTAGAGTACATAGGGTCGCTATGAGTCGCAAACGACTCGACGGCACATAACAACAACAACAAACAACGTATTAGTTCTGTAAGACTACTATACAAAATACCAGAGAATGGCTTTTTTATTATTATTTTATACTGGTTTACTTACAATGTTCATATACCTTGTTTTTCACACCAGATCTTTCCTCTTTCCATTACCCACCCCTCCC